AGGGGATTGACTTTCACATAGAGGGTCGCTTACTAGTGGCCAGAATTGGCACTCTCAGAATTCTTAATATAATTTTATTTTTTTCTTTATTTTATTTTTATAATTTTGAAAATATTTAGGGGTGGGGTGGGCCTGCTTCCCCCTCCCCCTTGAATCCACCGAATAAATCCAATCTAATCCTACACTCACTGAATTTTAAAATAAATAAAATATTATAGGCCTACACCACTATTTTTTTTAATCATAAATTCACGAAGTTTATGGGCGTCTGAATATTTAAAAAAAAAACCCCATATTTTGCTTATAACTTTTTAAAAATATATATTATTTTCCCGATGGCAATAAATATGATATTTTTCTGAAAATCCAGCTTCTAATAAAACAGGGTCTCGACCTAACCGTTTGCAGTCTATATCATCATTGAGGTACAGTAAAGACATGTCAAGTGAACCTTGGCATATAGAAGATATGTGCACTGATATGGGTTCGTGAGAATCGGTATTTTAATGTTTCCTTCCCTTTTCTTTTTTTTTTAGCTTTGATGCTAGGTGAACGAATCATATGCGTTCTCCTGGTTTTTGTGAAAAAAAATATATAAATCGTTTGATGTTTGTTAAATTCTTGGTTGGCATAATAACACGAATACGGTATACGGTACTTATTCTAAGCGATTTTTAATATGCCTAAGTACTACTCCTGTATTGATGAAAGTTTCTAAAATGTTTAGTTGGAATCCTAAGCCTAATTCATCTTATTAATTACTATTTTAAAAATTTCCTGTATTTTTTTTTAATATATTGTAGTATTATTTACTTACTTTTATGAGTACTCCAATTTGGAATGGGAGGGGGGTGTGGATGGGTAGGTAATTTTTTTTTTCTATTTTTGTGTTGTTATTCATGTGATTTTAAATTGTACTTTATAATGAATAGGCCTAAATAAAATTAATAGGCCTAAAAAACAATTGAATTGAACCACAATCGATAATTTTAATAGACTTGTGCATTAATAATAATAATAATAATAATAATAATAATAATAATAATACTGATAATAATATAATTTAAAAAAAGAATGAAACCCAATAAGTAATACATTAACAATTTATTTCAATAATATTATTTTTTTAAACAAACTTAGGTAGGACAACAACAGGCTGTGTTTTACAATATTCTCCTGCAAAGACTAGCTACATACAAGATACAAAAAGGCTACCGGTACCTTAAACAATACTATATACAACATTAACAAAATGTAAATACAATCAATAATTCATTCTACTCCATCCATGCTGTATTGTAGGTTACAACTGACCTAACCTTGACAAGACATTTCATTTACGTGCATTTGCCGCAAATGATACAGTTTTACACGATATCTGTAAACCGTAGTTTATTGGCTCAGAATTATCATTGTTCATGTATTGTATCGATCATACCAGGATTTTATTGACTTCGCGATTGTTATTTATTGATGTATATAATTACTATAAAATTTTCCAGGACTTAAAAAAAAAACTAAGTGCAATTGCACCACAAACATCTGTGGTGCTTTCAAAGGGGTAAAACGTACAGGCCTAAAGTAAAATCACATTTAAAAGCACAGGTTATGCATCAACATAGGCCTAACATACGTTATACACATCACAAAAATTAGTAAAAATTGTTTCTATATCAAAACTTCCTTGATGCTTTCACAGAGAACCCGTAATAATGTACATAAACATCATTTAAAGAAGGAAGCAAAATGTTCGACAAGTAGGCCTACTCCGAAAGAAATATTTTTATTTATGCGTCAACGAAACGCACTGAGCTGTAAAGATAAGGTTTATCTCCTAAACATTGTAAAGTTCTTTATTCTTTCTGTTAGTTTAACCCGCCACCGGATTTATTGTACAGTATTTGTTTATTCACCATGGCCTGGACGGATGGAAGGTGGGGGCGGGGGGTGCAGACGGTGCGATCGCACCCTCTTAAATTGTATTAAGAAAAATAATTGTTGTATTGTATTGTTGATATGAATTACCGTTAAGATTTTTAAGGTATGAGAGTGCAATTTCCGGCACCTGTGGTCCATATTCTTAAAATTAATTACGGAACGTATTTAGCTGGTGGAATTTTGCTTCAGCGTGCATAGGTTCCTTTATGTTTCTGTTCTTGTAAATTTTAATGTTTTACGACAAATATATGAAATGAAATATGTCGGTATAGCGCTCTAGAATGTGTCTCAGAGCGCTTTTCTACATTATCCCCATGATGAACTAGGCCCTAATCTATGTTTATACGAAATCAGTACATTTAACACTCGAACCTTCCTATGACGTAAACACAAATCCAAGACTGTATTTTAGGTCCTATATTGTAATTATTATTTTAAAAGTTTATTGTGCTTTTGTTAAGATTAGCTAGTTAAAATGATGTTTAGGCCTAGATTTATTGAAGACATGGTTACGAAAATGCATTTACTTTTGTTTATTGAAAGGTAGGCCTACTGGAAATAACCCTCAATTGTGTTCTTTTTCTTTAAAAAAAAAAGTGTTTTCAAATAGAAATAAGGCCTTAGGATTTAGGCTAACCTAGGCCTAAATAGGCCTATGGTCCGGGGCCGGAGGTGCTTGAGGTTTCTCTTCTTGTTGTTTGTTGTAGGCCTATTATTGTTTCGGATGCAACATCGGAGCATGGATCCCACTGGTTTTATTTAATTAATTCAACCAATTGAACTGGTTAATGGAGTCCAGATCATTCATGGAAAAAACGACCACAGAGCAGTAGGCCAAACATTACTGTATGTGTTTTGTAAAATGAAAACACTTTCAGCGTATTATCTAATTTGATCAGGCTATAGGCCTACTAACATGCCCTCTCAACCCGTGGTGTATAAATAACCAATTCAAATTTCCTTGAAGTTACTCTACGTTTTATTAGCTTCCGTCAGACCATGGGTGCCTTAGGTTAACTTGAATCAAAATGACCTAACTAACTATCGACCCATTCCCTGATATATGTTTCTAATCGCAAGGAAATGTGTTTTGTAGTGGCGGATCTGGTGGGGTTCAGGGGATTCGGATGAACTCCCCTCTCTGCAGAAACGAAACAAAATACACTGGTCCTGGCTTATAAAAGGCAGGCTTGAAATCTTGGATCCGCCCCTGGTTGTTTATCATCAGTTGTCAGATGCCATTAACATTCATAATTTTAGGATGGGACAAATATTTCAATGATTACAACTTTAATTGGAAATCATGTTGGTTACACAAAGTGTGTAAAATGAAAGACAAAAAGATAGCTCAGTTCAATTAAAAACGTTTAAATAGAATATTACCTACAAACAAAAGGCTCTCTGTGATGGAAAATTAAGGAATCCGAATTGTGCAGCAAATGTGGAGTTCTTGAAGATGAAAACCATGCTGTGTGTGTTTTGCTACGAATATTTTGCTATTATTTAAGTATTACGGAAATAAACAAAGACACTACGGACATTATCTTTAGTCCTAGGCACAGAAATATATGGGTGTACATTAACGTCATGCTTTTTCATCAGGGAATTTGGCTATTGTCCCTAAAACTGGAGGGTGTAGGAAATAATTTCAGTAGGAAATAATTTCAGTAGGAAATAATTTCATTAACAAAGGAATGTTCCATTTTAGAATAGGGGTGTTGTTTGATACATAAAGGAAGAGCCATAACACACCCAGTTAATCCTACTCATATGGTAATTACTTCATGCGAAAAACACGTATTTTTCAAATTTTAATGCATTTTCAGGAAGCTTGGGTAATTTTGGGCAATTTTTGCTGAATCTTGGGTAATTTCGACCCAGTCATGGGTATATCAAAAATTATGAGTGGTCACGCTGAGTGAGACAACCCGGTAGGTAAAGTGGCTTGCCCAAAGACACAAGCGACTTGCACAGCGAGTTTCGAACCCCACGACCTCAAGGTTGGGAGTCCAAGCCACAACCGATCGATGGTGTTAGACATTTTAGGATGGCGTGGGCTCGGTCCCTAATTTGGGTAGCATTCAACAGTTGTGTCAATCCTTGGTTCATCCCTGAAACAATTTCTGGTTCTGGACTGTCCTTAAACTGTTCTCCTCCAGGTTACAGCGGATGAATAATGTTTTGTTTTGTTTGTTTGTTTGTTTGCTTTTATTAAAATTTTTTTAACATATAACAGACCCCGCCCGGCTATAATATTATAGGCCATAGAGATTTATACCTCGCCTTTTGCCGATTGATACATGGCGCTGGTGTTGTTGTTATAATCACCTCTGGTCATTGGACCCCATCAAACCAGCACAAGGTGCAAATTGATCTACTCCCTGGGGAGTATTCGTTGTCGTGTTTGCAATTTGATCATTGAAAAAAAAAAGAAAAAGAAAAATGTTGATAATAAATATCCTTGGGTGGAAATTTATTGATGATAGAGGGGGACAGACTCCAATTTACTGATATAAGTTCAGAAAGGAATTGTATTGGATGAGATACATATTTGTATTCATAAAAACAAAAACAAAACAAAACAAAACAAAAAACGTAGGCTTATTTTGATGTTTCACTCCGTAAAAGGGCTCGCGATATAACATATCATTGATATTTTTTGGTTAATAATAAAGCTTGTCGAGTTCTATAATACAAATGAACGTTAATCTAATTTTAAAAGATATCAAAGAAAGCAACTCGCTGAAAAAATCAGTAATAGAGGGAGGCAGATTCGAATTTATTAATATCATGTCAAAATTGTATTCGATAATAATATTTGTATTCGATAAAAACATAAATAAGATAACACTCAAAAGAACCAACAAAATCTAAAATGTTTGGCACTAGATCTATTTAAAATGGTGTCGCAACAGTTATTGACCGAATAGAAATGTATATGAAATGAAGTAGAGTTGATAACAATAAATACCAGTCCGCCGCCCTCTATTGTATATAGGCGTCAAGTACTCTAGTCACACGTGTGCACCATCTTCCGATACTTCACACCCACGCCATGATGTGATGCTAACCCCTTATATTAGGCTAGGCATTTCAAACGCAGTTATGGATCCGTCCTTGTCGAGCTCTGGGATCGAACCATTCACATCACTTTCATGTGAAACAAATAATACAGATGAAAGTAAAGTATTAGAGCAACCGACAATATCAACGTTACCTCTAGAAGTTCTTGAGATGATTTTGATGAATTGTTCTTACGCAGAAATCAGTGAAAAACGCCAGGTAAGTTGTGCAAAGCCTAGCTAGCCTAGGCCTAGCCTGCAGTGCATCAGGGAAGTGTCTATGTATATGAAGTATCCCAAAAATGGGTCCGATCGTGTCGTGAGAAAGTTGAATATTGGGCCCAATTATGTGTTGGCAAAATAAAAAAATTCCCAAAACCATTTTGCTTGCCTAGGCCTACAGTAGGTCAATATCAGCTGCGCCCCGTCAAATGCCAAAGATAATGGGATGCCAGTCAATTCGAGCGGATGTCAGTTCGAGCGGATGCATTTAGTGCGAACTATAACAAGGACGAATTTATCGTCGCCGTATTCTTGTAAGTTGTTTTAAATGCAAAAAATGCTCTGATTACTAAGGTCCTGAAAGGTTTTTAGTACTTTTTGATAATTACTCCATGTTTGAATTACAGTCTTGGCAACTCCGACTACCAAGATGGCCGCTAACAAGTTAAAAATTAATAGAATTGCGCACTTTTCAGCTTAAAAAAGAAGTGTATGTTTTACTAGAGTGCACGAGAAGCACACACACAAGACGAGTGACCATTACTTTTTTCCACGGTAAACAAAGTGGGGTGGCTAGCCACCCTATTAACCACCCTTCCCCAGATCCGCCACTGGTTGGGGTTCTCTATTTAAAAAAGCAAATTATATTTGTAATTGAGTTATGCTACTCACTCATCTATTCTGGAACTGTTGTGTGCTCACTTCCCCTTTGAAAATGTCAAATTTTTAGCTCAAATTATATTTTTGTAATTGAGTTATGCTACTCACTTATCTATTCTTGAACTGTCGTGTGCCCCCTTCCCCTTTGAAAATGTCAAATTTTTAGCTCAAAAATAGGAAATTTTGAAGTAATTCGTATATAACTCGCACAGGTTGTTGTACGCATGAGTGGATCTTCTTCCGCTCAAACTAGCATCCGCTCGAATTGGCCTTCGCTCGAAGTGGCATCCGCTCGAATTGACTGGTTCCCAGATAATGTATGGAGTGTTGCATTGTTGCTCCGCGAGTTCTGGCAGAATCAAAAATTTCCAAAACATTTTGCTTAGGAAGCAGGTCAACTCGGCCACAAGTCAACTCGGCCACAGTCAACTCGACCACAAGTCAACTCAGCCACAAGTCAACTCGGATCTCTTCAGTCCACTATATACACAGCTACTGTGCGTATAAGATCCGGTAAAGTCATTATATACACAGACGCTGTGCATAAGATCCATTAAGGTCATCATATACACAGCCACTGTGCGTATAGCCTTGTCCTTGATACAATTCCTCTAGGCCTATGTAAACTTGATCTATTTTATTACCTCCACCAGAGGAGGTTATGTATTCACCGCTGTCTGTCAATCTCATGAAAATTCAGATTTTTACCCTTGTGCATAAAAGAAAATAATGGAATCGCCCATCGTATACAGCCTGGAATTGTTCATTATTTGGCAGAGTACGGAGGTATGCACTTTTTGGAGTGACTGCTCAAGTTTGATAAACCTTTGTTTTTTTAGGTATGCAAGTCGTTCAATGAAGTGTGTCAGAGTCTCTTAAACCGAGGTCTTGTTCAGGTGATGCATTATCGGAAACAGTATTCACTCAAACTGAAAGCACTTCTACCACGGCGGGAATCTGAGCGACGTGACCATGCACTAGCACGGCATTGGGATATCCTGTCTACAATTGAGATGCAAATGTCCTTGTTGTCGATGACGTACTCCGAATATATTGACCTTCGTGTATGTTGCTTCATTCCAGGAAAGGTTAGATTTATAAGTTCTTGAGGTAGTTCTGGTGGGGTGGATGTGGTGTTTGGTTGATTTAGGCCTATATTCCCAAAATCGGATCTGTCCAGTTGCGGATCTTTCAATCAGCATTTGGGGTATGGCGCCTTTTTTACAAAGGAAAAATGACAATTTGGATAATTATCACTGAAAAAATAGTAGTAAATTGGATCCATATATTAATATGCATCTGAAGTCCTCAAAATGGATTCTCTAATACAGTATACCCCATAGGGCACCTTGTGGGTCCCAGCGCCCTCTAGTTTATTTACTGGACTGGTTAGAAATAATCTTAAAATTGAAAAAAATAAAATTTCTTAAAATTTGGGAAAAAAATTGAATACCATAAAGCAATTCAAACCCACAATATTAAGTTCTTTAGAACTTATCCGTAAACCGACCGCGCCATCCATGCGACGTGCCTTACTAGTGGTAATGGCAGTGATGTACAGTCCTTGCTGGAACCCCTGTTTTGTTTTGTAGGTCTAGGTGGAACCCTGGGTCCAACTTAAAAAGAGGGTGATAAACCTCTAGTTTATTTGTACAAAATTTCATGTATGTCCATCCAAAACTGGCGACGCTGGATGCTTTTTAAAATTTTGGTAGCAAGAACAGCAGTCAGGCTCTGGGGCCAGCGCCTTGCGCAAAACCAAACATTGTCTTAAAAGGTTGATTAGTCGATATGGGAAAACAAACTAGAAGAATAAAGAGATAAGATGTGCTTTCCTGGGTAATGTAAAAAAGGGAAACGCATACCTGTACGAACAGTTGCTTTAGATCGGGAAAGATGGCAGGGGTGGTTGCCATGAACCTGCCAATTGGCAGATCACTTGATGCTGATGATAATGATGATGATGAAGCAATATTAAAATAAATCTCAATATTTGAACTATTCCAACTTTTGTGTATTTATGTCAACTTATTTTATCTTGTCCATTTAAATACTGAGTTCATTCACTTTTAGGTGCTTGATGAGGCTTATTATGTCATGCGGTACTTAAAATCAACCGAGTCACCACCACCAGTACATGAGCTACTACGAGAATTCCGAGACATCTCATTGATGGCCAGAGACCACTTTAACGAGAACATAGTACCGGGTCTTAAAAAATCCCTTCTGCTACAAAAAACCGCCTCGCAGTCTTACATTAGCGCAGGTAAACCTTGATGAGTTTTATGAACATGTCATTAGGTCTTTTTTATTTTTGTTCCTGTTTTCTTGTACTTGAAGTATTGTGATCGAGAATTATCAAGGCACTGAATCTGCACACGTTTGCCAACAATAGCACCAATACAATTTGGAAAGTTCCAGCGTGTGTGAAATCGGTCTGCAATCACTTTCCAATCTTCTTCATATATTTTGGGGAAAGAAGCTGCCATAATTTATCGCATGTGTCCACTATGTCGACAGACCCACTCTGTAGCTGAATGCAATCGTACAAAAAGAATCCCCTGTTGCAAGGTACCTGAGAAGGATAATAATGTGTTTTATACCTTTTTTATTTTTTCAGGTGAGGAATGCAAAGCCAAGTGGGAGACCAACACAATTGGGGACGTCAGCACTTATCTGAAGCCATACAAGCAACAGCTACATTTCTTGCAACCATCAGTGATGATAAGCAACAAAGCTGATGTGAACTTTGATGTTAGTTTAAATCTTGAACCACAAGTACCACAAAGAAATGGAAAACGTAAAATATCAACACCGAGAAATAATAATGAAAAATCCGGTAGATTTGACACATCAGAAAATGCGTTAGGTGTTGAAATCGAAACAGAAGCACAATCTAATGCTTCATCTGCCTGTGCAGATGAAATGTTTCTGTTAAGTTTTCTGCCAACTTTAAAGCGACTTAATAACAAACAGAAGGCAGAAGCCAAGCTAAAAATAAATCAGGTTCTATTTGAAATAGAATTTCCCAGTGAGGAGTGATATGCACTCCTCACTTTATTATTTGAAATGTGGATAAGGAAAGACTTTTTGATACCTTGTTTAGTGAACCCACCACGCTCCAATAATCATGATTTCTTTTTTAGCCAACGAGCGCACCTGCCGCCATGAAAAAATGGAAATTTCAGAAAGAGAAATATAAGTTTTCTTTAATTTTATTATGCCCGCCACTGCCTTGAAATCTCCAAAAATAAGATTTTTATTTCTTCATAATTATATAAATTTTACATTCAACAATAACATTTTTTTCCCCTTCATCTGGATGTTTTTGGTAAAACTAAATTTTGCTAAATAAGAAAACAAAAATTTAATTTTTTTTTTCTGACAATCTGTAAAAAAATAAGTTTGCAAAACAATGTATGAAAAAAGTCTCTTCTTATGAATACAAATTTAAGAGTAAAAGTGCAAGTTTTCAGCCTAATAACAAAAAAAAAAAAAAAAGGGGGAAAAAAGGCTATAGCCAAACTGAAGATAAAATTTTTAAAATAGTATTTCCCAGTAAGGGTTGATATGCTCTACAGTATATTTAGAAATTTGAATAAAAAAACTCTGAATAGAAATTTAAGATTAAAAGTTTAGTAAGTTTTCTGCCCACTTTGAAGCAACTTAATAAAAAACTAAATGAAAAAACCAACTAAAGATAAAGCAGCTGTTATTTGATATGTAATTTTCCAGTAAGAAAGATTAGATACGATCTACAGTATTCTTTGAAATTTGAATAATAAACTATCAATAGAAATTTAAGAGTAAAAGTGTTTTGTCTACCTCAGTGTGATTACATGTGTTTCTGCTAAAATTACTGCTTTTCTAAGATTAGTGTCCTGTTTCTTCAGGTGCAATCCAACTAAAAGTAACACCCTTTTGTAGGATCCAATCTGAAATAGATTTTAAATCTGGCCGAATACAATTTCATTTTTTTGGAATATCTATAAGCAATTACTAATGCAGAGAAAATCCTTAAATGTGCAAGTCCACCAAAACATCCAGCATTCTTGTACGAATCAGAATAGGTATAATGTATAGAGAGAATGAAGAGGTGGATTTAAGGTGGGGTGGGTTGGGGTGCAAGCTTTCCCCAGCGCCCGTTTTTGAAAAGTAAAAAAAAAAAAAAGAAAAAAATTATTGGTTGTCCAAAATGCCTCCGAGGATATTTCCAAGTGTCTAGAAAACAAAAATCCCCCTAGGGTAGCGTTAGTCTTTCAGACATATTTGGATACGCCACTGGAATGTGTGGTTTGTGGTTGTGTATGCTAAAAGACGTAACTATCGACCCATTGCAAAATATCTATTGTCTCGAAGCTCATGGAAATGTGTTGTTTATCAGTTGTCAGATGCTATTAACATACATGCCAAGTTCGACAAATTTGCAGGCATGAGACTTTGTTCTAAAAACCCCTCTACTTGGTGGGTGTTCGGGGCATGACCTCTCCCCGGAATGTTTTCCCCCAGAGACCAAGAAATGCATTGTTTGCTACTTTTGGATTGTATTTTAACAACTGAAAATCTGTTAGGAATCCGCTTTTTTTTTTTCTAGAGAATGCATATTTCAACTGTCAACGATCGAACCTATCCCACTGACATGAGCTGCGCGTAGCAGCTGGCAGTGTGTTCTTGGATCCTATTGATGCAGCTAGTTTGATCTGATCTGATTAACAAACAAAAAAAGTAGTAAGAGAAATATTCCAATTTTTACTGACAATTTACTGACAAAATTTATCAATTAAAGAATACGAGATAGGCCTACCATAAAAAAGTGGGAAAATTATACGATAATACTTTAATAATGAAAGACATCAGAAAAAAAAAATGTTTTAGTTCGAGTGGTGCTCTTCTTGTCAATTTGGCCATTTTAGACATTTTGTGAAGAGGGGATCAAACAATTAATGTTCTGGTTCGTTTGTTGTTGCCAACTTGATTGTATGATCCTCTAGAAATTTGTATTTGACATGATTTACATGGGCATTTTTTTTTTTGG